TTCTGGTTTGATCCTATGGACTCGTCTAAGTGGGACGAACATATCTATACGGTTAATAAGCCATGAAATTAAGCCATTGTAAATGGAGAGCTCGTAAAGGCTCGGGAGAGTGAGTGAGGCTATACCTTTGCTCTGAGAGGTGTAGCCTCAATCAGAGATTCTTCAGACCTTCGTTATACTCCAAATGGCTTAGGGATGGAGTCTCTGGCTCTGGTGTAAGGTCTATGTATGAATTCGACCACAGCCCATTTCAGGTGTTGGTTGAGGGCTATGGTAGAGGCTCTGTGGAAGGGGGGTTTGGTGGGGCTTTGGCTTCTTTCACTCTTGTGAAGGTGTAGGACCAATCTATTGGGGGTTTGGTGGTCTGTAAGTTGGGATTGGGTTTTGTCCTGGTTTCGGGCAAGAGTTTGAGCTCAAAATTGGCTCTCTGTGGTGAAATTAAGAGGGGGAAATGGATTGGATTGGACTTAGGGATTCTTCGAGAAGCTCTGAGAGGGATTTGGAGGGCCCTTGGTGAAAAATTTTTACCACCCCTCTCCATGGCCGTGAGGGGTAGATTTTATAGAAATTGGCCAATGGGGAGCTTAGCTGGCCAATTGAGAGCTTAGCCCCACTGCTTAGGTGTCAAGCAGAGGGGTCCTCAGCTCAATTTGAGCTGAGGTGGTCTCTTGGCATGCTTTTGGGTTTTCACCATGTGGGGGCTCACGGTTTTGGATTTTACCTTGGGTTAGGGTGGCTAACCAAGGCTTGGATCATGGTTAAAGCTTATAATGAGCAGTAAAAATGGCACCATAGGGTTTAGACATGTGTTGGGGCAAGTACATTGATTTAACCCTTTTATTATCTCTTCAAAAGCTTTTTTCAAAAATTTACCCATGGGATAAATATCAAGCTTAACCATGGGTTGATGGCTGGCTTGGAACTCAACCTTAGGGTCTAAGGTGAGTCAAGGTAGAGCTCATTTGGCTAAACCAAGCTTAATTGGGTTAGATTTGATCTTAAGTCCAAAAAGGTGCATGTGACCAAATCTTGTGTTTGGGCTAGGTTAGGCATGCCAATTAGCCCAATTAAATATGGCATTTGGTGTAGGAGATCATGAGGAACAACTTTCATGAAGGGTGAAAGTCATTTTGAGGTCAATTGGTTAATCAATTTGGTGGATTTTTGATTTTTGACCCATTTTAAGCATGTTAGGCTAAGTTTGGGTCAAACTTTGGCTAGACATGGGCTAAGTCCGAATTTATTGTTGTTTTTGGTGTAAAACATCATGATGAACAACTTTTATGAAGGATGAAAGTCATTTTGAAATCAATTTGGTAGTGAATTTGGTGGATTTTGATGAAATTTAAATTTAGACCCAAATTAGGCATATGGGGCTAATTTGGGTCAAACTTGAGCTAGCTTTGGACTAAGCTCAAATTGATTGTTGTGTTTCGTCACAAATGAACTCACAAAAGATTTTCAACAAAAATTTGATGCCAATTTGAGGTTTAGGGCATTCAATTGTTGAGATTTGGGATGTTAGCCAATATTGGGGCTAATTTGGGGTTTTGGATTTAAACCAAATTGGATGATCAAAAGGTTTTACCAATACAAATTTATGGTCAAATTGGATGTAAAAATATTGCTATGAAGCAAATACAACATTTCTTTGGGCTAATTGGCATGGTTATAAGTCCAATTGATGTGATTTGGTCATTTAGCCAAAATTGAGGTTTTGAACTAAATCAAAATTAAGCTTAATTCAGGGATCAATTGAGCTTAAATTTGCAATATTTTAATCAAATAAAATGTTAATTTAAGTTTAGAATCAAATTTGGGGTCAATTGGAACCAATTTGATTGATTTTGGGTTAAAAATGGTTTTGAAATTAAGCCTTTAAGGACCAAATTGGGGGTTTTGGTCAAAGATGGTCAAATTGACCAAATTGGACCATGGTGTGGTTGGACAAAATGAAATTGAGAATATTTTGGATTTATTAGAAATTTTTGGGAATTTTTGGATTTTTAGGCCATGGAGGGGCATTTTGGTAATTTGGCCATTTTTGAAAATTTTTTGTCAGTTTTGGCAAATTTGGATGTATTCAAAGTGTTTGGAATGATTTTTGATCAGTTTTGGGTATTTTGGAAAAATTTGGGAATTTTGGCCAAATTTGGGTCCCAATGGCAGTTAGGTAATTTGGAGGTGCCTAGGGGCAAAAGGCCAAGTTGGGCATTTCAAGTGCAATTGGGTAGAGAACCATTCTAAATGAACCATGAATCAATGAAATCCCCATTTTGGGTCCTTATGTATTGGTCTTAGCCAGGGTATTGTGAGGGTATGGTGAGGGTATGGTGAGGG